GTATCTTAATGTCACAATCTGGATTTCCCACCCTCGAGAGCTGTGATGGCGCCTACTGGTGAAAGCTAGGCAAGCCAAATTATTCTAATTACTTAACCTTTTCCAATTTTAAACCATTATCAGTGATGGGTAGATATCATGCAAATAGCGAAAATAATTAAGCGGAAGACAAAATCCGACAATTTATCTTAATACAAAACTGCGGAAGTCTAAATACAACTCTACCCAGAATTCGGTATCACAGCTTCAAAGACGGTCTAAGAATACTACATGCAAAGTCTGAAAGATAAAATATACATTGTTTCTTAAATGAGTAAAGGAAACAGGATAAAGGAAAAGATAGGAGGTGACACCAAGGCCTGCGGACGCCTGCAGGACTACCTCGGGTCGCCTGATGAACAAGAAACAACAATTCCACTGCGGTCCGAAGTCTACAGCACTGGATCTGCAAAAAAGAGTGCAGAGTGTAGTATCAGCACATCCAACCCCATATGCTGGTAAGTACCTAGCCTAACCTCGCTGAAGTAGTGACGAGGCTAGAACCAGACTACCAAATAAACCTGTGCAATATAGAGTACAAAAATAATAGGAAGCAGATAACAATGATGGCAACAATGATCAACCAGTGATATAAAAAGCAGGCAACAAGAACACCATAAATGATCCTCAACAAATAATTAATACAAGTGCAATCAATTAATCAAGTCCTTCAAATATAAATCTTTCGAATCAGCATTTTTTGAATATAATTCTTTCGAGTAAAGGTTACCTTGTGACGCCTCATTTCATAATCATAAATAATATAGGTCTCATCCCACTTTCATATTTTCACGGCACCTCGTGCCCATATATTTCTGTCTAATATTGCACAACCATATTCTCATGTTACTCAGTTCATAGGTTCCATAACCCAATACAATTAAGAATGTTCAAGGAGCCTCATTCACTTAACATAAAGTAGAGTACAACTTCCAACCCAATTAGGAAATCAACAAGAAAAGATGAAGTTATTTTTAGAAATCATTTGATAAAGAAAATACCCTTTTCAATTAAAGTACAATATCGAATGAATCATTACCTTTAATACGAGAAATCAATACATCAAAATTACTAAATTTCGATAATATTTCGACCCTCAAATCCTCAAATCTATCTGAGAGGGTTTTCAAATTCTTCCAACTAAATTCACAGATTTAATGCCAAAACTAGTAATAGATTCGAGTAATCTAACCAAAATTAAGTTAAGAACACTTACCCCGTTGTTTTCTCTGAAAATCTCCCGAAAATCGCCTCTCCCCGAGCTCCAATTTGGTAAAAATGTCCCATTTTCATAACTTAACATTCTGTCCAGCACTGTTCACGGGCAGTGTTTACGGGCACTGTTCACGGGTACTGTTCACGGGCTGTAAAAAAATCAACAGCTGTCCAAAGAGAAAATTCAGCAGCCTTTTTATATTCGTTAACCTTCCAAAATCCACCCGAGGCCCTCGGGACTTCAACAAAATACACCAACAAGTCCTAAAACATGATACAGACTTAGTCGAAACCTCAAATCGCATCAAATAATGCTAAAATTGTGAATCACACCCCAATTCAAGCCTAATGAAACTAAAGACGTCCAACTTCTATATTCGATGCAAAAACCTATCAAATCAAGTCCGATTGACTTCAAATTTTGCACACAAGTCATAAATGACATAACGAAGCTATGAAAATTTTCAGAACTGGATTCCGACCCCGATATCAAAAAGTCAAATCTCCGGTCAAACTTAAGAAATCTTTAGCCTTAGATTTCTAGATTCCGTTAAATGGCGATAATTTGATCTAGAGACCTCCAAATTTGATTTCGGGCATATGACCAAGTACGAAATTACGATACGGAACTACCAGAATGGTCAAAACTTTTATCCGGGTTCGTTTTCTCAAAATGTTGATCGAAGTCAACTCGGTTGAGTTTTTAAAGCTCTAGTTCACAATTTAATCAATTTTTTTTACATAAAAACCTTCCGGAAAATTATACGGACTGCGCACGCAAGTCGAGAAATTATTGATAGTGCTTTTCAAGGTCATAAAACACCGATATAATTATTTAATTTAAATATGACATTTTGGGTCATCACACTTAACCAACACTTCTTACAAAAAAATGAATAAAAAATATATATTATTTGAGTAGAAAAATAGTTCAAATATAATACAAAAATATATTATTGTGGGAGTATTTTTTCCCCTCAGTTTTAATTCTTTATGCGGTCCATTTAATATTAATTTTTTTTTGGTATTAGACATTATAGAGTGATAATGTATTGCTAATACGGAAAATTCTTATAAAATTGATTTTATTAAACCTTCCTATATATTCTTAGTAAGTATTTAATAGACCAAATTTTATTAATTTTAAAATCTTAAATATTAAAAATTAGCATAGAAGGTATCGTAGTCCAAAAAATAAGTTATTGCAGTTATGTCATTTCCCTATGAGTTATTCCGTTCAATATTTTAGGGCTACTTTAATATATTAATATTTTATTTATGTTTTAACAATTATATAGGCTTTCTTTTTTCTAAATAAATAGATTTTGACAATATAATACATTCTCAAATTAAATTAGTAATAGGACATTGTAATACATTTTCAAATTAAATTAGTAATAGAATTTTTTAAGAAGTATATCCTAAAAATAATAGGATTACATAACTAAAGATATTTACTTGTTTAATTTTATGTAAATTAGACAACCCGAAAGTAATTATACTAATAGGATTCCTAACGTGTAGTATTATGTCCTAAAACTTATAGGATTATAAGGCTAATATCCAGAATTCCGGTTATGTCTTTTTATTATGAGTTATTGTACTTTATATTATAAGGTTATTTTTGTAAACCGACAAGTTAGATTACTTATCATTAGGACATGACATTAGCTTTGAGTCATGATGTAATTTTTAAGAATTTTTTATTTGCTTACTATATTTCAAAATACATGAAAATAGGAATAAGTAAGGATAGATTAATCTCGATATGTGCATTGTATATGTACCCCATAAACAACTATTCAATGTTGAAAACTCACGTAAATTTTACATTAAACAACATGTTTGATTTATGAGATGAAAAGTAAATAAATTTTTCTGTAAATGTTAAATGTTGATTCTATTTAAATAATTAAAGATTAAAAAAATCACGAAGACCAAACAACAAATAAAATAAAATAATGTTTTAAAATTAATTTTAATTAAAATCAACATAAAATGTAACTACAACTTTTATGAAGCAACTGTATTTTGTTCAAAGTAAAAAAAACATTCCTTCAATTTCTAATATAAATAAAGAAGGTAANCGTTTTTATTTATGAATTCTTACCTAATTCAATAAGGAAAGATTTAATAATCAAAATTTAGTTAATTTTTAAGTCTTAACATGTAGTATTATGTTCTAAAACTAATAGGATTATAAGGTTAAGATCTAGAATTCCGGTTATGTCCTTTTATTATAAGTAATTATATTTAATATTATAAAGTTCTTTTTGTAAACCGACATTGTATTCATGCTTTTATAATAATATAGATATAGATATAGATATAGACTCTTCTGTTTCTAAATGGATTTGGACATTATAATATGTTTTCAAATTAAATTAGTAATAGATTTTTTTAAGAAGTATATTCTAAAAGTAATAGGATTATAAGGCTAATATCTATGTCGAAAATAGTTATACTAATAAAATTCTAAAGGTGTAGGATTTAATCCATTGGATACTATTTTGTCTAATAAAATTGATTGGCTAGTGCTTGCCGCACTAGAATTCAACAAAAGAACAATAACTACCGTTATCATGTCAATTGAGATCAATACTCACTTTTTTAATGTTTGAAGCTTGAGTAACTTTTTTTATTCTTAAAGGCAACTTGAGTAACTTAGCAATCACAGTAATTTACCCACGTGGAAGCTCTCACGTGAGATTCTTAACGTGTAGTATTATGTCCTAAAACTAATAGGATTACAAGGTTAATGTCTAGAATCCCGATTATATCCTTTATTGTGAGTTATTATACTTAATATTAAAAAGTTTTACTCATGCTTTTATAATAATATAGATATAGATAGTTGAATATTTTATATACTAATTTTATGGTACGCGCTTAAAGCGTGTAACCCATATCAATAAATATAAATTTTAAAATTATATAAATATTATACGTATAATTGACGTGCAATTATTAAGTGTCATTTTGAAAGCACCTCTAGAACTTGATGTTGAGTTAATGGTTATAATAATTGTAAATGTTGAGATAATTTATATCTAATTATAGAGTTTTTAGAATGTGTATTTGTGTGTTAATACATAATATTTTGTAGAAACGCTATTTGTGTGTTAATACACACCTCTAATTATACATAATTTATATCTAATAATTGTGTGTTAATCTATTTGTGTTTTAATATAGTTACCTTTTTCATCCTACATCTAAAACTAAATAGAGCTGAAAGTGACGAAGATTTCATTTACAAAATCCTAAGGGATATTCTTCCCTACAAGGTTAGCCAAGATTTTTATCTCAATAAGCACAAATCAATCCTCTAAACTAGCATTTCCCTTAAAAATCACCTTCGTCCGGCTCAATTCTAGCCAAAAACAACTCAATAACATCAAACATTACTAAAGGAATCAATTCCAAACAATAAAGTCTCAATCTTTACCCAATTCCCACTACTAGAAAATAGACCTATGGCAACAGTATTTTAGCAACGGTTACTCAAACGTTGCAATAAAATACCTATGGCAACGGTTACAACTGTCGCATAATCTTCTCAGACCTACTAAGATAGGTAGTAAAACATACCGTTGCATTAGGACAAAAACCGTCGCTATAGATTGACGTATTGGGACGACGTCTTAATCCGTTGCAACAGTCTCATATTTGACAACGGTTCCTGAAAAAAAAGGGCTACTGGGTCGGTTTTACTTTCCCTCTTCTAACTTTTTCGCGCCTTATTTTCACAAAAGAGAGACTAAACGTCTCAAGGAAAAAAAAGAAAGAAGTAAAAGTCCTAATACAGATACAAAAAACAAAAAGCCTAAATTTGATACAAGCCCTAAAAGACTTGCCGTCCACACTCAAGCTACCACCGAGAAACGCTTCCGAGAAAATCCAAGAGATTTGTTCAGCCCTAAAAGACCTGCCGTCCCTAGAGGTTCTGATCTCTATCCAGCTCTCTTTTTCTTCAAAATAGATTTGTTTTCTTAATTTTTTGCTCTCTTTCATCAACAGAGAGCTTGTTGAGGCATCTCCAGTTTGAAGCTAACTTAAGTCTCATCTCCTTTACACTAGGTAAGATTCATGTTATATACTTGTTTATTAATTTATTTATTTGTCAAGTAAAAGACAAATTGGGAATAAATTATTGGGGTAGCTAATTCTACCAATTTATATGTTTCTTTACTCTTTGTGAAGGTAATCAGATAAAGTAAAGCAAAGACCTCGAATCGATTTTTTACCGGCCTTCCTAAACATGTTTTTAATTTCAATTAGGATAATTCTCTCTTTAGTTTACAAATCGCCGTGGTCTGTGATTACAACTTTAGACTTTTGTTGATTAGTAGATTGTTGATTTCTTTGTTTTGTTTTTGTTTTGTTGTCGTTTCTTTGCCGATTAGTGTATCTTTAGGCTTCTGGCGTTAGTGTGTTGTTAATTGTTTATGAGAAGTACAGTGCTGGAGTATTCATATTAAGAAATTCTTTTATTTTCTGTCAAAATAATATTGAACTTTTCCCTTATGTGTTTGAGCAGTTCATTTTTGGTTAAGATTGTGGAGTGTTCATTCTTGAAGCAATTCTCATTAGATGTAATGACTTTAAAATTAGGAAGATGAAACAACCGACCCTTGAGAACTTTGGTATGAATGCTTCTGCTTTCTGTTATTCATCTCTTAGTTCGTTACTTTGAGTCAATAGAAAGTTAATATGACAAGCAAGAGCCTCGAGATCTTATTTTGATTATAGATCTTAAAACTTTTTTATTCCATATGTGAGGTTCAAACCTTGATATCACATAGACAATATCAAGCATCTTCACATAAAGGCTTTCCCTCCTGTTGTAATAGAATCACAACATTTAAAAGCTCATGAAGTGAAGATGTGGAAACATTATTTCCTCAAATAACTTAAACAATCTCTTGCATCAGCGCTAAGGCAAAGAACAATAGCGAAGCAGGTCATGCGTCTTATTACTCTTCGTCTTATTACTCTTTCTCGTCCTTGCACATAGGTTCCGCAATCTGTCTTGCAGACATGAGCTATGAAAAGTTGCTGAGCAATCTGCAGAAGCTTTTTTTGTCGTTAGCATTTACTGTTATATTTGCTTAAAATTTTGGTTTTCATATCTGTTTAGAATGACAAAGATTTCTTGAAAATCTGTGTTACTAGGCGGTGTGGAAATATTTGGCCTGAAAATCTAAGCTACAACTTTCTCTAACTTCTGGATCTCTTCAAATTATCTTCTGTCAAAGACCATTTATCTCCTGAATAAAGAAAGAACTCAAATAATAAATCAGAGATAGCAAATTGGGTTTCTCTGTCAAGAAGTTAGATACAGAGTTTAGATTACTAATAGATCTCATGATAATAGATACAAAAGATTGATTGAAATGAAGTGACAAGGATTTTGAAGACTCCAATCGTTTAATTATGACTTGCGTGGATCAAGAATAAAAAGGTAACTGATGGTCCAATTTTTTAGAAGTTCATGAATGAAGAGTAAGATACAAATAAATTTTGCTTTGTGCTTTCCTCTTATACAAAATGTTGTCTGTCATGAATCCTTTATAACTAAATCAGCCACGAACTTTTTTGTTTATCTTCTTTGGTGTATACTGTTACTTTCATGTCTCTAAGTCATGCATTTAAGTTGTGATGTCGTTCTTCTATATTATAGATGGCTGGACAAATAGTTTGCAAAGCCATTAAGTGGTTCATATTGAAACTTTATTAATTTTAACTTTATGTGCTTAGGCTTAGTTAACTGCTACATCAGAGTTGTCTGTTAATTCTATCATGCCCATTTTTCTTTTGTGACAACTGAGTATTACACACATTGCCATGAATTCAATTTTGCACATGTCAAACACATAGTGTTAGATATTTTGTGATAGGAATAGTAAGAAAGCCTTGCTTCCCTTAGCTTTATTTCCACAACTCATAACTTGATCCAAACACCAATTTGAACCTGGCAAAGTGTATTTGTTACATAACTCTTCATGTGAATATTAAATCATGTTACTGCACTGTTCTTTCTTCCTATTCGTTTTACATCCTACTAACAATGTGTTTTCCATAAAGGATGAAGATAGTATTTTGCATGATTTGTAGTCTTTGTGTTCAATTCATCTCTATATTTTGTTATCTTCAGTGTGCAATTGGGTTTGTTTAGGTGCTGATTTTAGTGATTTTCCGTTCGTTTGTATAAAGAGCTCTGTTAACAAATCAACGTTTGTATAAAGAGCTCTGTTAAAACAGAGGTTTAATTAACAGAGAGGTCTCCCCTTTAAGTAGTTGTTAGTTTGCTTGTTTGTTCTTTATGTTTTCTTTTTTGAGTTGGTGGTGGTGAATTATTAAAACACTGCCAAAAAGTAATAAGTAGAGAGCTAATCATAATTAGGAAAGAAATATTTACTTAAATGCAAAAGAGTTGATACCTCTCATTTCAGCAGATGCTCAGTTACTATGTAAATGGAAATATCAACATGATTCTCTTTTTTATGATGATTTTTATCACTTTGGACAACAAGTCAGCTGCTTACTATATCATATTTAGGCAATGTCAAGATAATTGAATAAGCATGATATGAGAATTCCTCTGTTATAATGCATTTAACTTTTCAGTATTATCACATATATGCTACTTTAGCACATTAGTTGGTCTCGCCATTAATATCATTGTCATAGTTTGCATCTCTTTCTTTTTGTGCAATAGAGAAAGCTTTAGATTAAGTGATATAATTATGTATCTCCAGTAATTCCTGTAATTTGTTATTTAAGTTTTAATTTTTATGATTTGCATTTGTACCCATAGGGGATTTAATATTCAATAGATAATGGAGATAAAAGTTGGATGGGTCTCCGAAGATCCACAAATGAGTATATTCGCTGAGTGAATGATTTTCTTGATAAGACATTTGAACGGGCTTCCCAAGGCAATGAAATATTATGTCCTTGCAAAAAATGTGCTAATTGTTATTAGCGTATTAGAAATGTGGTAGAGGATCACTTGGTTGGTTATGGATTTATTCAAGGATACACCAAATGGATTTTCCACGGGGAAAAGATTTCCTCGAGAAATAATTCACATCCAAGTAATTGTGATGAAGGTTCCAACATGCATGATGATATTGATGGACTACTTCATGACACTATTAGTGGAGGAAGGAAAACAAGAGTAATATTTGGGGTGTGAGAATTTTTCTAAACTGAGTTTCACCATTCGATTGTACTTAATCAAATGCATTCATGACTTGAGTAATGTGGCTTTTTCAGACTTGTTAGACTTGTTAAAAGAGGCATTTCCATTTGCTAAGCTACCTGAGTCTTTTTTACAAAGCAAAAAGTATGATAAAAGATTTGGGTCTTCATTATGAAAACATACATGCGTGCCCCAAGGATTGCATGCTTTTTTGGAATGAAAATGAGAAGAATGATAATTGCTCTGTATGTGGAACTTCTAGATGGAAGAATGTTGTTGATGGCGTGACTAATGCAAGCTCCAAAATCCCTGCAAAGGTTTTAAGGCACTTTCCCTTAAAGCCTAGGCTTCAGAGGATATTCATGTGTTCTGAAACAACTGCAGCTATGAGATGGCATGGTACTGAACGACCCAATGATGGGAATTTAAGACATCCTGCTGATGGGGAAGCGTGAAAGAATTTTGATTTCTTGCACAAGGATTTCTCTCGGGATCCTCGTAATGTTAGATTGGGTCTTTCAAGTGATGGTTTTAACCCGTTTCGAACCATGAGCATTTCTCATAGCACATGGCCTGTTATGCTAATGAACTATAATTTATCGCCATGGATTTGCATGAAGCCGGAGTATATAATGTTGTCAATGATCATTCCAGGTCCTTCTTCACCAGGAAAGGATATAGATGTGTACTTACAACCACTAATTGTTGAATTGAAGGAACTATGGGAAACGTGGGTAGAAACATATGATGCTAAATCTGACCAGACGTTTCAAATGCGTGCAACCTTGTTGTGGACAGTTAGGAATCTGATGAAGATACAACTACTAAAATTGTGCGAATTCTATCTTATTGCTTTTTTATTGAGATGAATTTTTTGTTCTTACTGGCTTTTATTTACTAGAATTTTCATTTTAAAAATTTGTATTATAGGCTGAAATGGAAAAAATTGAAACACAACCAAGTGAAGATGGTAGCAGTTCTGTTAATGCATTTGCAGCCGTTATGGGACCTGAACATCCGGGACGTCTTAGATTGTATGGACGAGGGGTTACAAGAACTTCTTTGAAAGGAAAAATGGGACATTTTGAATCCTCTTCAAATGCTACAATTGATCTGGTGCAACAAATGGAAGAAAGGATGACAAGAATGTTCGAGGAACAGAAGGAACAATTTGAGAAACAGAAGGAACAATATGAGGAACAAAAGAGAATGATGCGACAAGAAATTCTAGGAGATATCTTTGTACAGCTTCAGCGTTCTGGATTGCAAATTGATCCTAATATTTTAGCAAACTTGTGTGCTCGTTCACCAGGAGAAGCTTCATCCACACAACAAGTAGCTATTCAACCAATCAACAGGCCATCTTTCGGCAGCAACAATCAAGGTCGGTATTTCTTTTCGAGATTAGTTATAGATTGGTTGTGTGCGCAATCTGTATCACTCAAAAACAGAGACTGATTTCTCAGAAATAGAGACTAGTCTCTCTTTTCCTCTTTGTTGTGTGCGCAATTTATATCTCTTAGAAACAGATACTGATTTCTCAGAAACAGAGATTGATCTCTCTTTTCCTCTTTGTTGTGTGTGCAATCTGTGTCTTTCAAAAGTAAAGACTAATCTCTGTTGCATATTCTTTTGTTTTGTGCACCATCTGTGTCTCTCAAACTACTATCCTTTGCTACTTCTAATTAATTGATCTACTAGTGTTTCATTGTGCTACTGAAATTTTAAAACAAATAAGCAAGACGACCATATGGCAATGGCTAAAGCCGAGGTTTTAAAACAGAATGCTATTTCTTAGTCGTTCTGATGGTTTAGCAGTCTTTTTTTCAGAAATGCTCGTTACATATATTGCTAAATTTACAGAAAATACTTACTTACTGTAGTAGAATAACCAAAATAGACACCATAATTTCAATATCACTTGTAACAGTTTTCAATGTTAATTCCTCTGAGACTGGGATTTTAAACTTGATACATGTACAGAAATGCCGGAATTCTTGATGTTTCATTACAAGAACTACTAAAGAGTAGCTAAAACATTAGTTTCAAAGAACATTATATATCCCTCACTTTAACCCTGACTTCTGTAAGGGGTTGAACAGCCTTTTTTGGGCTTGAAGAAACAATATTCTTCGGACTTGAAGGAACACTATTGATTTTGATTGGTTGACCACTACTGAATTTACGAACCAAAAATGTGAAACATCCTTTGCTGACTTAGTTTCATGTACTTGCTATATGTTTCTGCATCTCACATTAACGACTAAGAACTACTTTCATCCTTTGCCATCTGTATAAAAGTGTTTCATTGTGCTACTGAAATTTTGGGGTTGTGGTGCGTAATTTTGTAGTTGTTATTGCTACCCTGGTGTATGAAATCATGATGCTGGTAATGTGGTGCACATTTCCTTCAGTTTCTGCTGGTGCACATTATACTCTCTTTCACATTTCTAAGTAAAAAGCTAAGTACCTATACTCCAATAGAGAATGTAAAGTAGCAGTGGCAGGCATGATTTTGAAACCAGTGTGATGGGTTGGTGGCCCAAACACACCAGTTTGAGGGTGAGGAGCCCAATACTTGTTGAAATAAGTCTCAAGATCCAACATTGATGCGTGCACTGCCCTCCTTTATAGTATATTTTGGATACTTGACTTCTTTTGGTGTAACATTTTGAGGGTGACTTTTTTTGGTGTAACATTTTGCATACTTGGACTTCTGGTTCTTTTTTGTAGCTTGATTTCTGAAGTGGCAATGCCAATTTCATCTTTTATTTTGTCTTCTAAGTACTTATATTATTTTATTGGTGTTAATATATAGTTCAATAATAATGATATTGAAAAGGCAATATTTTTTTTCCTACCCTCTAACTATTTCTGTTCTTATTGAATTTACAGGTGAACCAAATGATCAAGGGGGAGATGAAAGCAGTTAAGACCTTACCTAAAAGTATTGGTTGAAGAATCTTCAAACAATCTAGGAATGTTTTTATTTTTAACTATTTTGCAAGCTTATATTCCAACTCTTGGATTATTAAACACTTTTATCGTATATTTTACTTTTATAAATGGATAATCGTAGTTGTATATTTTGAATTATGATTCTGTTGATGAATATATTTTCATTTCATCAGTTATATATTAATTTCAGTGTATTATACATTTATCTTGTTTCGGTACCGTTAATAGCTTCCAACAGGAGTCATAGTAGCTCAGTATAACCATTGCAGTAACTTAGCATAAGCGTTGCAGTAGCTCAGCATAATCGTTGCATCAGCTTGTAATAACCGTTCCAACAGGTAAAACAAAACAAAATATAAAATGTTGTAATGTCTATAGCAACGGTTCTCAGGCGTCGCAATACACAAATAGCGGCGGTTCAAAACCGCTGCAATAACTCACTATTAATCGTTGGATTTGATCATAATAAAACCGTTGCAGTAGATGAGCCTATGGCAACGGTTATGAAACAGTTGCTTGAAGACGTTGCAATAGACCAATAGCGACGCAAGTTCCCGCAACAGACACTAAACCGTGGCACTAGCTTTATCGCAACAGATTTTTTTACTATGACAACGGAACATATGGCGGTGCCTTAGGCTTATTTTCTAGTAGTGTCCCAAAAAGTTAATAAAAGTCAACCCCATGCCCACACGGTCAAAACCCGAGCCAAGGGGTAGATCCTGACTACCCATAATCCTACGAGTCCAAATCGACTCTCAAATTCTTAGTTTTTATTTTCAAAACATAATCAAACCCTCGTAAAATTGGTTGAAACTTCCCTAATATAAATTGAAAATACTTGAAATTTAGTACTCGTAAAATTTAAATGGAGTTAAAAATAAGGACCTCTAAAACTAAAATGAATTGGAAAATCAAAGTTATAAAAAGTAGAAAAATAATTAAATGACTAATCCTAAATATTAGGGAATTAATTTAAATAACTATTTCTAAATATTTGAGAAATAACTAAATGGCTATTTTATCCAGTATGAACTGTATTTTTAAAGAGTAAAAAAGGCGAACGACATTGCGCTAAGGGCCTTCGTGCTTTTAATATAGTAGAGATAAATATAGATTAGCACATTACAGTTTGTTATATTTTTTCTAAATAAATAAATAATTTATATTATATAAATTAAAATAATAATTGAATTTCACTTCCTATTTATAATTTCTTACATGGTTCAAAGTAATGACTAGATGAACAAACTTTAGTTGATTTGGAAAAAGGGATAACTTTTTTAAAGTATTTGCCACTATTCTACGTTTAAAATTTGCACCTTTTATACATCATACAATTTTGCTTTTATACATCATACAATTTTGCTTGGCACTATATTTTGTCGTCCTACATATTTTTACAACTTCCACAAAGACTAAATATGGAAAAATAATATTACTCATTTAAAATTCTAAATATTATGACTTCTTACCTAGTCTAAGTAAGGAAAAAATTAATAACTAAAATCTTATTTGATTTAGAAGTCCTAAATATTAGGAAAATAATTAAATTACAATTTTGTCAAATGTGAAATCGATTTTTAAAAGGTAAAAAAGCGAACGGCATTTCCTAAGGAGCTTCATGCTTTTAATATAGTATATAAATATAGAAATAGATAATATGTTATATACCAAAAAATATATAAATTTTATACCTTTTTGCGGTTATCAAATGTAAATAATTTCGGTCACAATTTAAAAGTGACCTTTTCCCAAAAAGAAATTATATATTGAATGAGTTCTACCAATATGTTAATTAGTTATGTGATTTTCAAGTATATATTTTGTTAAACATCTAACGAGTAACGCAATATACTTTACTTCCTGTCAAAATTACTAATCACATTGATAAAATTCAATGAAATTTTCTATGAGACTCCACCACTACTAAACGTAAAATTCAACAAGTTACACTACCTCGTGCCTATGGTGGATTGGGGATCCACAAAGCCAGGGGTAAGAATTTAGCCCTTATTGCTGGATTAGCTTGGCGCTTTCGCCGCCATCCCAAATTCCTGTGGGCCAGAGTCATAAATGCTAAGTATAATCTCCCTCTTCAAATTGCATATCTATTCTTCCACGGCGAAGAACCTCCTCCACTTTGCGAGCTCTTCTTCAAGGTAACTCTTGCCTTGCACAAGGCCTTAAATGGCACATTGGCAATGACACAACCATTAACGTCTGGAACGATATTTGGCTCCCAAATAATTCTCCTCTTCGCAATCTTATTTACGATCCTTTAACTCATACTGAGCAATTTCTTACACTAGACCGCCTTCTTCATAATGGAAATTGGAATACTGGTATCCTATCCTTTGAACTACCTCTAAATATCTCACTTCTCATCTATAATACTTACTTTAATCCCACTTCATCACGCACTGATGACTTTTGTTGGTTTCCAAACAATTCAGGTTTTTTTTCCTGCTAAATCTGCATATCGATTATATCTTAACACTTGTAGCAACATACCGGCTAATCCACCAAATATTCAATGGATTTGGTCCCTCCATATCCCACCTAAAATTCAAATGTTTCTTTGGCTAGTACTTCTTAATAGACTACCGATTGCTTCATACCTTTTATTTATTAATATGCTTCCCCACCCTTTCTGTCATTCCTGTCCTACTAAAATCGAATCCCTCCAACACTTATTCTTTGAATGCACCAATTCTCATATTGTATGGAACTTCTTCCCTATTAACTTGCATGCACCATCTTTCTCTGAATGGCTTAAAGAGCAGTGTACACACATGCATCTTCCATTTATCTACCATGGAATTGAAGTTCCAACAGCTCAACTTGTCCCTTTCATTCTCTGGCACATCTGGACTACTCGCAACCATAACCTTTTCCACAATTTACATGATCCTGTATTTGTAAATAATATTATGTTCCATGTGATAGAATTCCACTATCTAAGAACACCTCCCGTCTTATCTCGTATATCGACTACTCAGTATATTAAATGGCACCCTCCTGCACCATATTTATTTAAATTAAATATTGACGGTGCCTTTAACTCTGGCACCAAAACAGCGGGTGCTGCAGGAGTGTTTCGAGACCATCAATATCAATGGATCCGAGGTTTTACTATGCACCGCATTTGCTCTTCCGCACTTGAAGCAGAACTTCATGCTTTGTTGATAGGATTGAAAATTTCCCAGGACTTTCATTTCTATCTACTACGGATGGAAACAGATTCCCAGGTACTGCAAACAATGATTGACACAGGTTCTAATCTCTACTTACCTCTTATTTTGGATTGCAGGTTATTGATGGCACAATTGCGACAGCCGGAACTTAAGCATATTTACCGCGAAGCAAACAATGTAGCAGATCTCCTGGCAAAACATGGCATGACCTTAGCTCCTTCTACTGGCCGACACCTTTGTCATCCACTACATTACGACGAACCACCGCCTTATGCTTTACTAGCTTTCAATAAAGACTGTTCGAACACTTGTCTAAGAAGAACAGTCCCTTTATGTACAAACTCTACTACATGTTTTTCTTAACTTTTAATAATATTTCTATTTTAGCAAAAAAAAAAAAAGGATTTTAGTAATACTCTCTTTTCTAATAAAAATATATTGGAAAGGTAGGCCGGAAAATCTAGTGGGCGAAAAGGTAAAAAGGTGCAGTAGAAGGGAAAGATTTGTTGGTATTGAAAATTGGAAATCTTGCACTTAAGGTGATTGTTTCTGAATTCAATTGCATTAAACTGCAACTTTAATTTCATACTCATTTTGGCTACAATACAGATTTCTTGGCCACCGATAATCTCACTACACGAAAATAAATTCCTAATTTGATCTGACTTTTAGCAGAATACTAAAATATCTCATAACCAAATTCGGTGCGAACAACTTCCTCCTCGTACATTAAACTTGATACATGAGAATATGCAAAATAGATGGAAATAAAAAATATGCTAGTTTCCATTATCATCTAACATTATGGCCTCCAATTAATTTTACAATTAAGTTAGCAATTGTGATTACTATGTGTTGGTATATGATAATTAACACATATATCAAATAATAGTATCTGCAAGGCATGGTGTAAACCTAAGACTACCCGGACATAACAAAATAGTAGCTACGTGCGGACTCTCGTCACTTCGTGCATAGCCCCCATAATAAATCACATTTAATTAAGTTTACCTATGGGGAAATTTCCCTATTACAAGGTTAGAAAAGAGACTTACCTCGTTTCGAGCCTACTTCCAACTCAAGAATGCGCTCAAATCCTCAAACCGAAGCCGAACAATCCGAAACTATTCAAATAGTGTAAAAACCAATCATTTTAGGTTCACAAGTTCATATTCTAGCTATTAAAGTAGTTACCCAACCCATATTGCAAGGTTCCTAAAATTAACCCCCGGACCCATGTACCCGGATTTAAATACTTTTTGAAAAAAGTTGTTACCCATGACATAAGGAACATAAATATATGATTATTACTAAGTTTTATCGTCAAATTCGTGGTAGAAATCTCATTCTTGCCAAACCCTAGGTTTTCCTCTAATCTCATAAATTTCACTTATCTTTACTTGATAATCTACCCATAATCTAAGTATTTAACTCACATATAGTAGGAATTACTTACCTCCAAAAGCTTTGTGGAAAACCCCTCTCAAGAAGCTCCAAAATCGCCCAACAATGGAGTGAAATGTGTCATAAATGACTAACTCCCGCATTAAATGAAGGCCTCTGCCTTCAGTGATTTCCGTACCTGTGGTGCTTATACCGCATCTGCGGCCTCGTTTCTGCGGACAAGTGTCTGCTTCTACGGAGGTGGGTTGGGCCAGCTGGGGCCGCTTCTGGGGAAGGCCCACAATTTCTACGGAGGAGGACCGCATCTGTGGTTTCAGGGCTGCTCACCCTTGGCCGCATCTGCGATTCAAGTCCCGCACCTGCGAGCTCGCATTTGTGTTGACCAACCGCAGGTGCAGTTATGACAGAAGCTGAGCATTCAGTTTTTGCTTAATCTTTCCAACTTAGTCCGAGCCTCGTTTGATTGATGTTCGGGGCCCCCGAGGCCCCGCCCGAACATGCCCACAAGTTTGAAATGATAAAACGTACTCGCTCAAA